TTCGACCATTCATTTCGATCCATAACTTCTCACCTGTTTTTTTCTTTCCTCTCGGCTATTTTTAATATTCTCTAAGAAGAAGAGGATCCTTAAACGATGGAAGTTTAAGAAATCGTGATAGATGATGAACAATAGAGCAGTATATTAATGCAAATTAACGAAACGTTTATCGTTTGATCATGATCCTTCAACCGTAACTTTATTTTTTTCTTTTTTCTTCTTTTTTTTTTTTTTTCTCAAGGATTTTTAATTCGAAGAGAAGAGGATTTCCAGATGATGAAGTGATAAGGTAACAATAGTTTATTAATCAAAGATTAATAAATTCATCGGTTGCGCAATACAATTGAACGATTATTAAACTGTGCGATTTAAAATCTGAATTAAAATCGAATGATTCTATCGATCCCTTTTTTAAATTGTTCATCCTCGAGTAGGGATTTATTAAAATTTATAAATTTGGTCCATCGTGTAATTTGTTTATAACTCGCATTTACTTTGCTTTAACACACACACATATATAGCATACAATGTTCAAAAGGTATGCACCATGATCTAACGTTTAATCAATTTCCAATTACCGATTTCCACAATTCCACTCGAAGCGATCGCACACCGATCGTAAAGCGATATTTCGTAATTCGGCGGCCAATTCGAATCTCCCCCCCGAGAAAAGGATCTCGATACCAGTTTTATAAAAAAAAGAGATACCAATTTGTTTACGACAAATTCGAATATAAACATCGTTTCGCAATCGCTTTTCCGGTCTCACGGGATGGAAATCGAAGCAAAATATTTACGACTCGTTACACACATATTTTTGATCGTATCTCTGATTAGAACGAAGGTGATCGAGAGATAGGTGATTTTTCGCACGAAGATTCAATGGCTCATTGCTCGAGGCGTAATTTCGATATTTATCGTCATTAGCGCGATCCTGGTTTAATGAAGGAAGCGCGGATAATCGGAGACTACCGGTTGCGAAATTTATTTTCGCAATTGGTTTGGCAAATTGGACTCGCTCCTTCCCAACGTCATTATTATTATCATCATCATCATCATCATCAACGCGTAACTGTCTCAAAACATTTTTAAACACGATTTTACGGTTTTGGAGTTTTTTCCATCGTCCAAGAGTAGAGCCGATTTCGGATCAATGTGATCAAACCCTTTTCATTTTTTGAACAAAACAAGGAAGGAAAATTCGCCCAAGAAGGAAGAGAAAAAGGAAAAATTTCAACGGACAGAAGGAAGACTCGATATATACATCCATCATCCCCTCTCGAAACGCTGCTCCGTTGTTAACCACCTGTGGCGACGCGAGCACAGCATCGTTCGGTTAACCGGTGAAACGAAGCTGCGTCTAAGAAGAAGCGACCGATTGGCATAGGTGAAAGTCGTTATCCGTTCCATTAACGGGTCGAATCCGAGCCGAGTGATGGGATCCAAGAGAACAGGGGGAATATTAAGCATGGCGAAGGTGCTTTGGTCATTAGGGGGGACGGCCATTTGCCGTCGGTTACGTTTCGAAAACGGGAATCGTGACGAAAGAGCCGACTAGTGGCAACCCTCGGATTTTCGGCTCTTAATGACCGGTGGCTCCGTCTAGTTATTATTAGTTTATCCCTTTTCCTCGTTTATTTGTGCGCTCGATCGCGCACCAAGGAATCGCGCACTAAGCGGTTTATTCTTGGAGAATAATTTTCGCTCGTGAAATCCAATTTTAACTTGTTTCTGTTCCAATTTTTCATTCCTCAGTTGCAACAACTCGGATTTTAATCTAGCCATCCAATCTTAGGGGATGGATATTTCTGTTCTGATTAATAAGAATTTTTATTTCCATTTCTGATCACTTTCTGCTCTTATTCTAGTCTTTTTCTATTTCGATTATTAATTTTTGAATTTGCAGAAGGAAATAGATTCCAATAAGGAGTTCCAAGTAAGAAGGTAACAATGTTGAATTAATAATAACTCAATCTTCGGAGCTGTGATTATCGTCGCCTCGCGTGTCTCGGAACCGAATTTCTTCCCGGGGCCCCGAAAATCAGCCTCGAGGGTTCACCCGTTTCCATCCACTAATCCTTAATGCACGGATCGCATGACGTCGTCGAAATTTGGTCGTCAAAACCGGGGCCAGAGATCGCCCCATGGTGCCTCTCCATTCTCCACATATTCTTTTCCAAGTTTCATCCTTTCAAAATTTCTCTAATTACATTCGATACGTTTCGTCGCAGCGTTTAATCGATATATAAAATTTCCAAAGCAAATTACCCCACTTAAGAGTTACTTCAATCTCTATAAATCTCTTCGATTAATTCCCAGTAATTGTTTCATCGATCTTAACGTGAAATTCAATATATATATTGAAAAGCAAGGTTAAAATTATTGTAAAATCAATTGATTCGATCTATCGATTATTCATCTTTAGTCGATTACTTATTCTTAATAAGGAAGAAATATTCGTATATATACCAAAAATATAATTTTCTTTTTTAATAGTAATGATATTAATTACCTTTTAAAATCCTTGAACAATTTTGCCAATTTTACGATAAGATCGATCGTTTCGCACGCAGTGAAGAAAAAAAAAATACGCGTGAATTGGCGAGGGAAAAGAAAGAAAAGAAAAAAATGGAAGGGGATGGAAAAAAGGAACGGTTTTGGTTTCGCCCGGTTTCTTCACGATTTATCGGGTGAATCGGTACACCATCGATTGCCCCTTCGGAGCAAGCCTCCTATACGCGGTAAGGGAAAACGTGAGTCTCGTAAATGGCCGATCTACACGACACGTCGCGCGTGCCATTGGCAGTGAAAAACATTTATGGAAACGTGCTTCACCTTTTACGAGTGAAGCCACCGATTACTTAATCCCTTCGGGGAGAGCACAGGGGGAAAAAATGACGGTCTGTGAATGGCCTAGGTCATTGCCGCCGGCGCTCTCTCTCTCTCTCTCTCTCTCCCTCTCGCTTCAGAAAAACGCCGATCGATGATCTCGTCTCTCTTCCCTCCCCGTAATAACGAAAAAGCTCGTTCAAAATTTCCCATTCTTTTGCTCATTCTTCCAAATCGCTATCCACTAGCAATTTAGAAAGAAGGGATGTTTCTTTTTCTTTCTTTTTTTTTTCTGTATTTTCATCAATGGTGGAAGAAACGTTACGATTTGTTCTTTCGATGATCGCGATTATCTTGGTCCTCTTCCAATATTAATCCGATAGATGGATGGAAAATCCATTCTTTCGAGTTTCTTTTTTTAATAAAATTAAAAATTAATCCAAAGATTATACGGACGATAATATATCTTTCCAAATTTTCTTAAATTTGAAAATTCTCAACTACTGATCCGCTCATTTCTCGATCCACGAAAATATCGCGATTCCGATTTCGAAATCCGAGTGACTAAACGTGACTTTCTAAGGCGAGACAAAGGTCGCAACAGAGGTTGCACAAGGCGGAAGCGGAGAATTAGAGGTCGCAGTCGCAGGACCATCGATCGAAGGTGGAAAGGAGAGATCCTGGTTCGGTGACGGGCCAGCCGAAAAAAAAAGGAAGGGGGGGAAAAAAAGAAAAGAGAAGAGAAGAGAAGAAAAGAAGAAAAAGAAGAATCGACGACGAGGACACGGATTGGAATGATGAATTCGCGTTCACGCGTGTTTTTTGTCCTGGCCTGAAGCGGACCCGCCGCCTGCTTCGATCCTAATCGACCATCTTACGTCACGGATGCAAAGTTACAACCGGTTCCAGACACCGAACAGACTTGTGTTTACACGTAACGCGCGTCACTTTCCATTCCGTCTCTTCTTTATCTTTTTCTCTCCTCCTATAGGATTATTTAACCAGAGACCTCTGGTTAGCGCGATGAAATCATCCTCGTTGTCTCGTCTGCATTGTGTTACGAATCGACCAACGAACACGTAATCTGCATTTCTTCCACCGGCCTCAATGTGTGTCTCCTTCAAAGTTTGTTTTCCTTTTTCTCTTTTTTTTTTTAAAACTGTAAGTTTTTTTTTCACAACGAAAGGAACGAGGATTCGTCTAAATTTTTTTAACTCGTGCGAACATCTCACGATCTTAAAAAAAAAAAAGAAAAAAAAAGAATATAGCTTCCTAAAAAAACAATTTTCTTAATTATCCCATATATATACTCGCGCTTTTGAAAATTCGCATTCTCAGCGGTGAAAAAACCGCGAGGGTCAAGTCAACACCGACCCTCTCTATACGTTTGCACCCTCGAACGAGACAAAATTCGCGAAAAAAGGAAGAAAGAAAGAAAGAAAGGAAAAAAAAGAACGGAAAAAATGAAAAAAAAAAAAAAACGGGGAAAAAAAATGAAACGAAACGGGAACGTCCCCTCCCCCGCGTGGCGTGGTTCCCCTCTGTTATTTCAATATCCGTGAGTGGCCGCGGTATCGAATATTGAGGGCGAAGATTTGCGCGCTTCTTGGCCCGCGCGTTTATTCCATGTCGAAAATGTTTTTTTTTTCTCTTTTCCTTTTTTTCTTTGTTTCTTTTTTTTTTTTAAGTTGTTGGAATGTTCGCCCGATTTAAAAAAATTTAACCGAATCCTCGTTCCTTTCGTTTTGAAAAAAAAACTGACAGTGTTAAAAAAAAAAAGAAACAAAGAAAAAAAGGAAAAGAAAAAAAAAAAAAAAAACGTGGAAAAAAAATGAAACGAGACGAGTACGTTCCATCCTCCGTGTGTCGTCGTTCACCTCTGTTATTTCAATATCCGTGAATGGCCGCACTATCGAATATTGAGTGCCAATATTTGCGCGCTTCTTGGCCCGCGCGTTTATTCCATGTCGAAAATGTTTTTTTTTTCTCTTTTCCTTTTTTTCTTTGTTTCTTTTTTTTTTTTTTTTTTTTTTTTTTTTTTTTTTTTACGTGGCGAAGAGAGAAGCGAAGAGAGAAGGAAGGAGCGTAATTAAAAAAAATCGTACGCAGGGTGGCAGGAGGCGTGGCGTGATCAAGAGATCCAATTAAGAAGGTAAGGAGACAACACTCACCTTTCTGCAATTGGCCGTGGTCCGCGTTCATTTTCGCCTGCAACAGAAAGTGCTGCGCTTCACTAAGTAGAATTAGCACGGGGACCGTGAAAATTCCAGCCATTCTGCTAAAATATGTGCAAGCGGTTCGCTCACCTCGTAACCTTGTTTCGCGCCCCGTCCGCCGCCCCAATAGTCGCTCTCCTTGTCATGGGGGTTGCATTGCTGGAACGGAAAGAATAAAGAAATATTATTATACGAAATATAAATAATATTCGTTACGTTTTATTTCCAATTGAAAAATTTAATCAATTTGAAAATGTATATGATTTTTCCTGTTTATTCGTATTTTATTTTAATTTTATTTAATCTCTGTAATTCTTTTGTCGCTTGATAAATTTCAATAAAAAAAAAATAGCATTAAATAACTAATAATAAATAAATAGCATTAGAATCAATTAATCACATATTAATCATTATATTAATTTTTGAACGAATATACTATCTATATTTTTCTTTAAGTCCTATATTTGAACTCGTCCTATTTTCCTCCAAATCGATTTCTTTTTAATTTATATTTAAACATTCGATTTTGAATATTGAATTTTCAACCGATTTTCATTTTTAACTTTAAGATTACTTTACTATCTTCCAAATCAGAATTATTACATTTCTCGAAATGATCGATCTCGTGTTCTTCGTTGCTTTCCTCGAAATATTGTTAAATCGATTTTCGTAAATCATACACGCACTTTACTCTTCGTTCGTCGCAATAAATTAATCAACAATCACAAAGTGAAACAAAAATCGAAAGAAAAAAAAAAAAAAAGAAAAGAAAAATAATACTCCATCCCCTTCGATCCATGGCGAAGCAACACCGTTCGTCGAACGTACTTTCCAAAAGCCGCGTAAATAGCATCAATAATTGATGGAGAGGGGGAGGAGGAGGATGGAGAGGGTTGGCAAGGTGGTGGAGTATGATGATACGAGGAGGAGAGGAGATGGTAGGGTCGAGGATGGCAAAGAGGGTGGCGAGGGGTAAAAAGCACCGTCTAGACACAACATAGACGAGGGTGGCGGGCTTAGCCCGTGACCTTGGGCATCACTCGGCCTTCTGAGACAAACAAACCGACCCTCCTCCTCCTCCTCCTCCCTCTCGCGAACCATATTTCTCCCGCACGCTTGCTTCTTACGCGTATTTCGAAAGTAGGGAGGGGTGTGTGTGTGTGTGTGCGTGCGCGCGTGTGTGGAAAGTTAGTTACAGGATGGACAGGCTGCACAAGTCTCACGATTCGGAGAATCGATTTGGAAGTAAATGACGGGAGGTTTGATCGAATGGTAAGGTAATAATACATCCTCGACTATTTTAACCCTTTATTGCTCGACTGTAGTGTTTTAACCGCCACTTATTTATTACTTTGACTTTTATTAAAATGCTGCCATCGAATCGAAGAAGTAAAAGTGGTTTTTGCTTTGAAATGGAGGAACAGCAGACCAGGAAAGAATCGATGAAAAGCTTTCTAACTTTCGTATCTTTCTAAGAGTTTTTAATTATTCCATTATTGTATCAGCCTAACTTATAATTCTCAACAATATTATAATTGATCACATTATATGAATAAATGAAAACGAAAAAAAAAAGAAATTATCATCGTCTCTATCACCAGCTAGAAAATATAATTGATTAAATTCATAACCTTCAATCTACGAAAAAACAAAAAAAAAAGAATCATTCAAAAGCCTTTAAAATAAATCTGAATATCGATTGTGAACGCGAAAGAGAGAGAAATTCCTTAAATCTTCTTTGGGAGAAGAATTTGTCCCTAGTAAATCATCGGTCGTCCCACTAATTGGGGGGAGAAAAATTCTTTCCCTCGATAGCTCGTGTGTGCTCTCGTAACGTCTCTGGTGTCTAGACCAGAGCGTGGACGGTTTAGAACGAGAGACACCGTGGATGTGACAAGGACAAGGGTGGATGGAAGCCAGGGACATTAAGGGATGACCCCGTTTCCCTTCTCACGACCTCCCGAACCGCGCGCGGCCCCTCCGCAACTACGAGAACCTTGCGTGTGGTCACGTATCCATCTCGAAGGACTCTCGGATGCCTGTGAAAGGGTGGCATGTCGAGATGGATGACGAACTTCTTTCTCTCTCTACAAATTCAATTCGATTTGCAAAATTTTATCCCCAAAGTTTCTCGATACGAGATTCGGACACATTGAATTATTTAATCTTTTTTTTTTGGAAAGGGGAGGAAAGGAAGGGTGGAAGAGAGGGAGGATGAACGATTTTTAAGAGATATCTTCGAATTTTTGCATTTAAACCGGATATATCACGTTGGAAAATATTTTGAAACGCTCGAGAGGAAAATATTTGGCCAATTTTTCGAGGGTGGAAGAAGTAAATATTTCTTGATTTTTCAATTGTGCAGGATGCTAAATGGGGTGGATAATATTGGAAAATATTTTAGATCGAAAAGGTTGAATCTCGGCAAAAAACTATAGATATAGATACAGCTTGATAGACAATTTTGAGAAAAAGTTTTCGCAAGTAGCTAATAACGATTTTGAATCGACTTTGTTCGATGTTAAAAAGGACTAGAAATATGATAAGCGACTATTATTCAACAGTATAAAAAAAAAAAAAAAACAATCTTATATAACTTAAGCTTCTGAATTGTAAATTTTAATCTATTCCTAAATAACACCTATATGTGATTCGTAATGAATTCGTGAAGGATTAAAAGAAGAGAGAGTGCATAAAGTGGACACACAATCGACAAGAAACTCTGATTAACCGACACGATATAAATTCCAAATCCTATCATATAACGCTTTAATCCTCGCGATACTTATCCTCTGTCTACAAAACGATTAACGATCGAAAAAGACCACGAAATCGATCGTAAAAAGAACACACAACATGGCGATAATTCCATAAACGCGTTATCCTCAATCGTTCGATTGGTCCAATTCGATATAAATGCGAATCGAT